GTCATTCTGAGTCTGGGGTGTTGCCTTTTGGACATTTTCAGGTGGAGGAGAATGTTTGTCTACTTCAGTGTTGTTTACTGTCTCATTCTGATTCCTGTTGCTCAGAATGCATCACTCTATGGCTACAGGCCACTCATAAGTACATATAGATATGATGTTGCAGTCCCGTTGCCCGGCCTGGCATGGCTAGGTGGTTAGGGTGCTTGACTCGCAATCTGTAGGTTGCAGGTTCGAATCCACGTCCTACCAAATATGCTCACCCTTTCAGTCGTGGGGGCAATATAATGTGACAGTCAATCCCACTATTTGTTGATAAAAAAAAGTAGCCCAACAGTTGGTGGTGATAACTAGCTGCCTTCCCTCTAGTCTTTCACTGCTAACTTAGGGATGGGTAGCGAAGATAGCTCTCGTGTAGCTTTGCGTGAAATTCAAAACAAACCCAAACCAAATTGTCCTAGCCACCAACGTGGGATATAGGGCCCAAGATCCCTTAATTCCAACCCTGAGTAGTGGAACGTCACCTATCTGGTTGGGGCACTCGTATACAATTCCACCCACAATACAGGAATTAAGTTCAGGGTGAAAAGCATACCTGTTCTGGATGCAGTGTGGTTTCCCCCATGAGGGTGCCAGTCTTCTAGTGACACACCCATAATCTATGCAGATACTTTCTATGTGTATAATTTATATAATGCCCCCATCAGCCCCTTGACCTTCTCAATGTGGGCAATGTGAGATTCTAGCTATAAGTGGGAGTAGAGGTATGTATGTATTGGAAGTTAAAATTTTCATAAATTGAAAATGTATTTCCAATAACACTTACCACCGCTGATGCTTTCCCGCCCTTCCTCCCCACTTAGAGCCGACGCTAGAGACTGGGATGGTGTAAATCTCGAAAGAGTGATGTGTGGTATAAAAGACTGGAGCAAGCGAGAAAAAATCAGACAAATGTTTAGATGGGCAGAGGAAGAAATCCTGTCAGTCGAGTAATAACTATAAGTGTGAGCGGAGGTATTACTAGAAATACATTTTCAATTTAAGAAAATGTTAACAATTAGTGAAAAGTTTTCAAGAATGTAAATAGGGCTTTTTTCTTAGCATTCATGGGAGTAGCAGTTGGTGGACACAGGTTTTAAAACAAGTTTGAGACATGAAATATTGTTTTGTGTTACAAAACTATTGTGGTTTGGGTTAACCTGTGATACAGTTAATAATGGATATTTACTCTTTCCTGTGTTTAATAAATTACAAAAGTCATAATGGATATAGTAGACAACAGATTCCAATACTGTACATTACCTCTGATCATGTATAGCTATTCTCATTCAGTGCTGTCCACTATATGCAAAACATTTTTCGCATGACACAAGCCTTGAACTCCCACGCAACTCACAGTCAGTGTGGTTCAACTGCATCTTGCATGTAAATCATCATCCAACAACCCTCCACCAATAAGGGTGAGATACCCTCCTGACACATGCGACTCCCCGTATTCGATGCTACCAAACTATCGCCTCCCTTTAGGCAGTGATCGAGTGCAGACATTTTTCAGTCGTGTTCTTTTCACATGTTAAATGTTTTTTGTTTGTAAAATAAGTGATATACATGATTTAGTCATTTGGTACAGTTAGATTTTCCGTATTTATTCGAGATTTTCCAGATTCTTTGGAATCACGTGCAGACTCTGTAACTTGACATTTGACCCTTTAATTTTTGGTTGATTGTTTGTCTTTTCTGATATCATGACCTCTCCCATAACTGTTTCTTGTCCTGCAACCTCTCATCCTTTACCAGTTTCACGTTCATCATTACCAGCAGTTCCAGTGACAATCAGGTGGGGAAATGTTTGGCTTTTCCTTTCCCCACTCACCTTTGTCTCCTGTACCAATTTCTTTTTCATTTACTGGGATCCAGCTACCTGTCTGTGTCTGTCAGCCAACTTTTTCCTAGATTTTGT